AATGGGTTTAGTTACAGTGCATTCATCAAGCATTTCTCTAAAATTTCCAAACTCATTATATAGGTTTGATATTAAGGTTTTATCATGCATGATAGACACCGATTTAACTGCGGTGACACACAACATGCCTTTATGTTAAAATTAAATAAAACCACTTCAAGTTCTCATAAAGAACAAGCACATGATCTTGTTTTAATGAAATACCAATGGTTATATAGGCTAATTATGCATTCTTTATAGCAACTTGTTTACCATATTCCTCATTCTTTCAAGCAGAAACGGACAATTCGACATCATTTTGTGTGTAATTCTCCGTTCATGCGATGCGAAAGAGTACTCGCGCGCTGTGAGAGGCGCTTTCTGTGTGTATGCTTCAGTGTCTGCGCTCAGAAAACCCGACCGAATTGAGTTCTCTCTTGCGTCGTCAGATTTATATGTCTGCTCTTCTCTTACTCCCACATATTGACATATTTGAACGTTTTATGCGACGTGCCGCAAGTGTATGTTAGCTTATGTCTCGCCGGTTCGTATGTACGCATCTAACCTCCGAACTGCAGCAGATTCGTTCTGAATGAATCTCTTCCCAAATTGTCTCTCCCTAACATTTTCGTCTTGTTTTTATTCGTTGACGAAAATGACAATAGATTTACGTCATAGTTTTTGTCATTCAAGTTTTAGAGTTTTAGTTCGTTATTGTCTCGTTGTCGTCGGTAAAAAAAATGTTGTTGAAGAAAATTATGATAAATTATTAATCAACGAAATTAACACTGACATACACTCTGAGAAATATCAAAATAAAGCTTCCAAAAGGGTGTTTTCACAGTGATGTCATAGAAGAGCCATTTTTGGTTCTCCAAAGAACCTATCAGTGAACAGTTCCTAAAAGAACAATTTTTCCAAATGTGAAGAACATTTTAATAATCTAAAGAACCGGAAAGATTCCATGGATCTTTAAAGGGGTCATGAACTGACTTTGTTTTTTTTTTTATTTTGTACTGTTCTCTGAGGTCCACGTATAATGTTATCAAGATTTTTTACATCAAAAACTGCATAATTTAGAAGTAATATGCTATTTTCTGTCCTGTTTTTGACCCTCCTCATCAGAACGCTCTGTTTGAATGGGCGTGGCGGATTGTAGACTCTGAAGTAAACGCCCACTGCTATGATTGGCTAACAGTTGTGTATGTGTGACAGCCTACATCCTTCACAGATGGACGCATAAATACTCAGTACATATCAAACGATCTGTTTAACAGATGAAGCAATGGTGATCATGTAATGAAAACAGTTACTCACACTTGTCTTGTGTGTTGTCATTACTGTCGGATCCAATATAGCCGGCACAGCATCGTCTTTTAGTTTCGATCTTTCTGAAAATCCCGCGTCCAATTGTGCCTTGTTTGTAAATGAATCTGCAGTAAAATGAAGTGAACAAAGGTCCAAGTTCTTATTGACGCGGTCTGGAACTTTATTAAAAATAACGTTTATTCACTCTTTCCTAATGTTAGGATCAGAAGGAAGGCAGTGCAAATACTGCAGAGTCTTCTTGTCTTCAGAGCATCTTTATCGTTTGGTTTCTGCGTAGACTGTTAGGATCAGAAGGAAGGCAGTGCAAATACTGCAGAGTCTTCTTGTCTTCAGAGCATCTTTATCGTTTGGTTTCTGCGTAGACCAGCGTTCGTCTCTCTCGTGAACACTACATGTGTGAATCGGTGGGCGGGGCTAAACAAACAGTGATGCGGAGGCGGTGCTTGTCCACACTATTACATCATAGAGTAGAACATTCCAAAAGCTGTTGTTTTGGCAGACTGCCTTCAATATAAACTGTTTTTAGACTAACAACAAAGTTTTGAGTTCTCAAACTTGCAGGATGTTTTATAGTACAATAACCTCTTTCTTGTCAAAAGGTCACGGGAATTTTGGTTTCTCAGTTCATGACCCCTTTAAAGGGGTCATATGATGCAGCTAAAAAGAACATTATTTTGTGTATTTGGTGTAATGAAATGTGTTTATGCGGTTTAAGATTAAAAAAACACATTATTTTCCACATACTGTACATTATTGTTTCTCCTCTATGCTCTTCACAACACGGCGGCGGCAGCAACAATAAAGTTACGCCTTCTTTCTTTGCGAGAACATTTGGGCGGCGTTATTCTTCTTTCTTTGCGTGAACATTTGGGCGGTGTTATGCAAATCTTCCCACACAGTGACGTAGACATGTGGGGGCGTGTTTAAACGAGGCGTTTAGGAGGGCGTGGACCAGTCTTAACTTTTATAAAGAATATCTCTTTGGGTTTGAGACTTTAGTCTTTGCAACTTTAGGGATCTTATCTATTCACAAACAGCTTGTAACACTCCAAAGAGAAAGGAAAACTTGAAATCGCATCATATGACCCCTTTAATAATCCAAGTATCAGTACGACATCAACAGATATTCTCCTACAACAACTTCAAGCATTTTGCTTTGTTCATGTTCATTGGCGTTACTGTTTTACTAGTTCACACAGCTCTGTCTGTATGACGGCCTCATTAGTGTTGTTCAGCCGAGGGTAATTTGAGGTGTTCGGGTTGAACAGGTGCTGCAGAAGTCAAGCTAATGTACCTTGATTTGAGTAGAGCTTTTCAGTGGAGGTCAGAAAGACATATACCTGCGTAAATGCATTTCTACTCAAAATAACTCATGGACAGAACATTGCTGAGCATTCTGGGAAAAGCTTTTACTAGTTGATTCCACATGGTTTTTCATCATAAAGCTAACATGTCAGTGCCCAAACACTCATGAATAAAATATATAACACACTACCAACATTGACTGATTTTGCTTCGCATGAGCATTTTGATTTAAATCTTCTTTAATGCTTCAGATTAATGCAGATAAATAAAAAATTGTGCTTACTGGTCAGGTTTATCTTTATTTTTTTTATTTAAATTTTGGCTAGCTAGTAAAGCCAGAAAAAAAAAAAAACATGGAAACTTCAGTTTATGGCATTAATATTGTGTGAGAAATAAAACGTAATATTAAATGTGGGCTGTAAATTATGCTGAAGCCTGCTAGTGGACATATATTTGATTTTGACAGGTTTTGTTTCTCTTTCTAGTGGGACTTTTATTTACTGAAATGGAAAACTTATTTTTAATACAAAGTGCATAAGCGATCACAATCCATGAGACACCAGGTGCAAAAAAAATGTCTCTCTTAAAATTTCTCTCTTTTTACTTTAATAAAAATGAATAAAAACAACTACATAAAATGAATTTTTTGATGGCTTTAATATTTAGTGTGGGAAATACAATGTAATAAGCATGTGTCCAGACCCTTTAATAAAGGATGTGCTCCAGATTATGATAATTTATTTATTTTTTATATCTTAACTAGCTTGTCCAAATTACAATGCGTGATTAATAATAAAGCAATGCGTTTTCCAGTGTTTTTTTTATTTCCCATAAATGGACCATGACAGAAATTAATTCATTTTAATACAGAATGCCGTAAAAGACCACAACTCATCAGGCACCAATTGCAGAAAAAATAATATATATACACATTTCAAATATAATATCGGCCCATCTCAAACTTACATCTTTTAATATTTTTCTCCACTTTCTTCACATAAACTTTAGCATGCGCTCACACCCAGATGGCCTCCGTAGTTTCATATTTCTTTTAAAAGTAGCTGTGCAAAAATAACTATATAAAATATATTGCTTTGACAGATACCAAGCAGGAGGCGCCGTAAATAAATTAATCTAGACAGGAATAACAAGCAGGAAAGAATAGACTTTTCAACATCGTAGGGCAAATTCAGATGTAATGTACAAACATACAAACAGACCAGGTACAAATTTAATAACCGCAAACATCACGTCAACCAAAAATGCATGAAAAACGCAAAATACACTTTTTTTGTAAATAAATGGTCAAAATACACCATCTTCACATAAAAGGTGAAAAATACACATTACAGTAATATTTACAGTACATGGTCGAGGGTCTGATCGCTGTCATGTCAGGCAACATTATCCCCTTCTCAATGGGATCCTCAGTGCTGTGTCTGTGAATCAGTGTGATGCAGTGCTCGAGCCCCGCTTCAGGTGTTTATGGTCCGTTATGGTCCCTTTTGAAGGGCTTAAAAAAAATCTAAATAATCATCCTGGATGCTGGAGTTGTCCATGTTCACAGGGCTTAAAGAAAACACGAGTAGAAACAGACCCATAAATCAGTTCTAACGTAACCAACGAGCACTGTCTGAACTTCAGAATATAAATGTCATGTTTTCATATATTTCTGAGTGAATATTGTGTTTGTGAACACTTTAAATCTTGTTATATAACTATATATGGCACTATATTATATATATATATATAATAACTATATTATATATATATTTCATGATCTTTAAAACCTTGAAATGGCGTAGGCAAATAAATTGTGCCTATATATGAATTTCTTTATAAAACTTAAGTTTTAATTAAAATGGATAAGTTTGAAACCGTATTATACTACAATATGGAAAATGGAGAATAGGTATGTGTCCAAACCTTTTGATCGTATATCTATTCTTTACGGTATACATACAAATACCAATCAAAGTTTTTTTTAAATGTTTTTGAAAGAAGCGTCTCCAAAGCTGCATGCATTTGATCAAAAATATGGTAAAAAATTGTGAAATTAAAATAAATGTTTTCTATGTGAATATATTGTCAAATGTAATTTATTCCTGTGATGCAAAGCTGAATTTTCAGCATCATTACTCCAGTCTTCAGTGTCACATGAGCCTCAGAAATTATGCAGATTTTCTGCTCAAGAAACACTTCTGATTACCAATGTTGAATTTTATTATTTTTTTTTTGCTTTCATGATCCTATGATGAATCGAAAGCATTTATTTGAAATAGAAATCCTTTGTAACATTATAAATATCTTTACTGTCACTTTTGATCAGTTTAGTTTAATGCATCCTTTCTGAATAGAAGTATTAATTTCTTAAACGTTTTGCATGGACAGTAGTGTGTATATGTGTGTGTGTATATATATATAGGGCTGGAATCATCTTCAGATCGAATCCCTTCATCTGAAGTGTGTTTTCTAGGGTTGTTGCATATGAACATCCTAAACATTCGACTCTATAAAAGATCTCTTTGGTCTCATTGCCGCTACATGAATGGTGGGGTTTTCTTGAGTTAAGCTGGGCTGTTTGTTCATGCTGTCTGTGAATGAATGTGCCATGGCCAGAACCGGTTTGCTTTCCTTATGGCAGAACTCTTTAGCATGCAGACTCCCATTGTGCAGGCCGCCCATGGCGGGACACTTGAGCGGCTCGTAATAAGTTCCGGACGGTTTTCCGTACGCAATCTCACCCGTCAGACCCGCAGAAACGACGAGTCCTTCAGTGGAGTGACTCTGCCAACCTCGAGACACCACTGGCTGCTGCTGCTGCTGTTGAAATCGAGCCGTTTTGTCAATGATTCCCATGAACGGACGGGGTTTGTACTCCACAGAGCCGGTCTGGCTGATCTTAGGTTTGTCCGATGCGGTTTTGGTGCGCACGTCTGGGCCTTGCGCTTTCCCGCTGTCTGATAAACTGCTGCTGGATGCCAGGCTGCTGGTGGAGCTGGAAACCCTCATGCTGGCGTCCTTTCGCAGCTCTCGACTTTGAGCTCCAGAAGTCGCAGAAAGAACCGTCCCTTCTAGAGTTTTAGACGAGTGCATTTGGACGTCTGCATCGTCGTTTGTGGGCAGTAACGGGCTGATATCAATGCCTGGTCCAGCCTTTAGGACACTGGATATGTGCCGGCTGGGAATCGGGCTGGACGGAGCATATTGCGACTGGCTCTTTGTGTTGGTCGGCCGTATGGATCCTGCCTGTAAGGAGCCGAGATGCTGGTTGGTTTTGACGATCTGCGCCTGTTTGCTGGGCTGCAGGACGAGGCTCTTCTGGTGCTGATGTCGGAGGCTTTGCCTGTGAGGGGGTGAAACTGAGCGGCCGTTTGAAGTCCGGTTTAGCGAGTAGATGTTTTGAGACCAGGCCTCAGAGTCGTCGTCCTCCTCCTCCTCCTCTTCCTCCTCGTCATCATCGCCGCGCTCTGGACCGGCGTGCTCCAGGTCGGCCGGCAGGTTGCTCAGGCTCTGCTGTTTGCTCTGGCTGCGCTGCATCTGTTTGCACTCGTCCTCCACGCGTGCCAGCAGACGGCAGATCTCGCGGTTGTTGGGGCAGAGCTTCGTGGCCTCATGCAGGTCAGCTAATGCTGCAGTGAACTGTCTGTGAGCAGAGCGTTCAGATAGAGATGGAGAGAAAATAGGAAGAATAATTGAGGCTGGAAACGCAAACAAGTGACAGGAAAATTAACCAATCATTCAAACTAATGACAATAATTACATTTTTAAATTATTTTATTTGTTATAGAAAAACAAGTTATGCTCAAAGTCCAGAGCCTCGATCATAACATTATAACAGGCACCTTCCGAGTAGAGACCTGCACTATCACGTGACCCAACGCAGCAGAGTGTGGTGCGGGACAACAGTTGATGGGCGAGTGCGGGCGGGTAGAGACTCGTGTGTGCAGGATGCGGGAGAATAAGGGTGTACTCACACTAGACAATCTTAACTGTGCCCGACCGCGTTTGACCCCCAAAGCCCGGTTCATTTGACTAGTGTGATCGCTCCGTGCTGCGCTCGGTTTGTTTAGCCGTCCCTGGCTCGGTTGGAAGAGGTGGGCCAGAGCGCGGTTCAGTTATATATAGATCAGTGAGTGTGAGCGCTAACCGCGCCGGAGCGCGTAACTTATGATGTGTGCAGCATGATTGCGTGAACATTTCTGAGTGGCAAAAGTGATAGATCTGTAAAGCGCAATATTGTGAGAGGGCCGTGCGTTACTGCGTCCCAAACGACTCAAAATAATGAACCACAAAGTTAACAAAACGATGCACTCCACTTTGCTGAGCTAGAGCGCTTCTCTGCTGTCTTCACGTGCTGTCGGAAACTTCCTATTTCCCACTTATGAAGTCGTGAGCGCTTCATGTGAGCGCTGCTGCAGTCTTAGGCCCACCCCAAATGCTCTCATTGGTTGAGACGCGTGATGACACCCATCCCAAGCCAGTACTGATCAACATCTCACCCCTCCTGTGACCCATGGTTTGTCTGTAACTGCGTTAATGTGCGATAGAATAATTGTTGGCGTTAATCAATTAGTGTAATAACGCGTTAACTTGCCCAGCCCTAATATATATATAAAATTATAAATAGAATTCATTCATATCACTTGTTTAATTACATTTAAACATTACATTTCTCAGTTATAATTGTAACATATTAATCAACATTCACTCCACTATTTTAAATAGGTGATTCATATTTCTAAAAATAATTTTAAATTTTTTTTACAGATTACAAATTTTAATTATAATTAACATTTAGCATTGTAAGGAAAACTATATATTTCAGTTTGCTATTTGCTTTTGCTCACTAGGTTCGGAGCAGATGAAATCGAGTGCAGCATCTGAAGATGCATCATGGTCTCACCTGCTGCTGCGTTTGGCTCTGGCTCTCGCGTAGTACGCCTCGTACGATTTGGGTTTGAGCTCCAAAGCCTTGGTTGCGAACTCCTCTGCCATGCCAAAGTCCTGTCAGAGGGAGTGAGGTGAACATCAGGTACCACAACTCAGAACAACCAAACTAAGAGAAGCAATCATCCACTCAGCCTGAGTTGCAGAATTTAGATTCCCACCGCAGCACGGCTGAATAGCTGTAAATTGGTCCAAATAATAGGTGATTTAATTAATGAACTCTTCAGCTGTTGTTCATTGTGTCATCAATCAGAGGTGCAGACTGGAAATTGGCTCTGTATTGTGTCGGGAGACCTTTTGGAGTCGGGCTATTACTTCTGAAAAGACCTTCAAATCAATTCAGGCCCTCGGAGTAATTTGCATCTTTCTCATCTTGCCGTGTGTCTGACATCTTGAGCAGCGAAAAACCACAATCTGATTGATCCAGACCAACAGAACCAGCACACCTCGGCACAAACTCTTAGCATGAAGCGTAATAATAATTAATAATTATTTTTCAAAAATTTCTAGAGTTGTTGATCATTTATATTAGGGATCAAATAACTAATCCCAAAAAGCACATGGGAAGAGTAAATTTTTGTAAAATATATTTTATTAATAAATTTACATAGGAAATTATATTGTATATTAAATATTGGTATTTTCCTCTTTTTATACATTTCCAGGCAGCAATGATATTATTTTTGACTAAACCTAAAATTATTAAACATAGTTTATATTAAGTGACATAAAATATAAATACTAGGGATGCTCCGATCGATCATCCGGAGATCGGTATCGGCCGATAATCACATTTTATGACTCGATCGGTACTCACTACACTTGACCGAACTCACGAACCGATCGCAATTTGATGACGTCAACGCGTGACGACGTACATGATGCATGGGGACATAAATGATTTGGTGCCGCAGTCATGACATCGCCGGTGTGAAAATGCTATGACGTTTCGAGAAACAATGAAAAATTCGCTATTTGTCGTGTATGTTTTGCATGATGATATGATGAATGGATGGTTCATTTTTAACAGCAGATTCAGTGACGTTAGAGCTGATCTGCGCCTCACTGCACACGTCTGCGGCGCGTTACGGCTCCACGGGAACCGGAGCTGATCGCGGCCGCTCTAGTCAGTGCTTGTTCTTATACCAGCCAGCCGCGGCACGTTTCTTTAGCGGCTCTCCGCCTGCTTGGCTAAAAATAGTCTTTTGTGAGTTGTCACAGCGTGGAGGACGGAACAAAACCTCACAGCGCCCGTGAATATAGGAAAAGGAAAATATGTTTGCTGCGTAAATCACACAGACTTACTGGAAATGTAAAGTCATTCTCTGCCAGCAGGAGGTGCTTTAAAGCGGGAGAAACAGAGGTTTCCCCAGTAACAGCTGTACACAAAGCAGCGCTGAGCTCACAAGCGCTGCTTTATTAGGCATATAACATGCGAGATGAAATGAAAATGACATCGAAAATTTTCTAAAGATAATCTTCCCTTTAACTGCGTTTGTAGCCGGCGCCAGACTGATTAACAAACACTGACCGGAAGTTAACTTCGGGCCAGGTGCGTGCGCCCGATGAAACTGTCTGTATAAAGCTTGAAGCATCAGAATCAGCATCGGTATCAGCCGATCACCATGACAAGAAATCGGTACTCCATATCGGCTGCAAAAATCCTGATCGGAGCATCCCTAATAAATACTAGATAATATATATTAGGGCTGTGCAAAAAATCGAATGTGATTTTCATGCGCATCTCGTCAGTAAAGTCGGTTCTGTGATTAGTAGTAAATCTCCAGCACGTGCTTTCAGATGGAGCGGCATTTACTACACAGAGCCGTAGTTCACTGACAAGCTACACAAAATCACGTTCAAAATCTCAGGCGATTCATTGCCAATTATGAACGCGATTTTGCGTAGCTTGTCAGTGAACTACGGCTCTGTGTAGTAAATGCCGCTTTAAATGTCGATTTAATTAGGGATCGATTAACTGTTAGTGTCAATATCACAAAAAACATATTGGCAAAAGTCCAAATAACAAATGCAATTAAATTTTATAAATACATTTTTAATTTGTAAATAAAATTCTGGAATTTCAGTTTTGTTTTTGACTAAAACTATTAAAACAATTTTAATCACTTTAAATAAATGTGAAATAAAATATAAATATTATATGAACAAACGTAAACTTAAAAACGTAAAAACAAATTAGAAATGCTGTCTTGGCAACTAACTGAAAAAAATATAATACAAAAAAAAAAAAAAATAAATCTAAAACTGAAATAAAACTAAAACTAAATAGAAATACTAAAAATAACAACAAAAACCTAATAAAATTTTTACTAAAAAATTTCTACAAATTAAGCTAAAAAATAAAAATGCTAAATAAAAGTAAAATTTTTATATTTCTAATTTAAAATATTAATAAATACTATAATAGTATATAAATAATACTAAAATAACACTGCCTTGAATTTGAAAACTTTACCATGTGGGTTGTAAAATATTTTCTGATGACTGATGTTTGAAAACCTTGATGTCAGCATTAATAGCTGAATTAAAAATCTGAATGTTATTTATGTCTAGCTCCTGTTGAATTCATATGAAAATGTGTCTACAGAAACCAGCAGACTGCACAAAAGAGACATAAGTGAATGAGAGCAGGTGTCTGGTGAGGCATTTGTAATGATCTCTGGTGTCTTACGTTGGTTTTCCGGCGACAGCGGGAGAGATTGAGGTACAAAGACACACGCAGCTCCTTAAAGGCCTTGAGTTCATCACCGAATCCCTCTCTGGGAAACTTCCTCAATGCGTACTGATACCGCTGAGCCGCTTCCTTCATCTTCCCCCTCTGAGAGAGAGAGAAACGCAGCTCATCAATCACAGATCATCCTGACACACATCGTCTGCTCTGATAACAATCACTCAATATGTCATTATTTTCAATCCCGTTTCTCCTGGATTAAAGCTCAGCACTTTGATAAGGCGTGTGGAGATAATCGTTCTCATTTTTATTTTAATAAGCGTTCAGACATTAATATCACACATCAAAACTCATCTCTGGAATACTTGATTATTATTAGTCAGTCTCAACATTGAGTTCTGAAATTATGCTAAACTTTTCTCTCATTCCATACACCCTATATATATATATATATTTATACAACAGTTCGTTTTGGTTCTCAAATCTGATTGGTTGAGAACCATGAGATATTGTACTGGTGTCGCCACAGGAACGCCCTTTCACCGCTTGTATCACTCCGCTTCCAGAATTTCTCACAGCGAGTGTCATGGCGGACACCCAAATCCACTAAAATGTATAAATAATATTGTTTTTGTGTCACGGAATATAGTTGTAAAAGTTTTTTAGGCGAGAATGTACTTGTTTAGACTTAAAATATACGGTTTGTTAGTAAAGATAACGTCTATTTGAAAATTTGCTTCGACGTTTCCAGAGACGTGAGCTCCAGGGCGTCCGGGGCCGTTCAGGGAAAATCTCATCACGTTATATTTTATGTAACTTTAATGATGTATATTAGAGCATGGCTTTTATGATGGCTGTTGTTGTTGTTTATTATTCAATAAAGAATATTTTATATACATAGTAGTATTTAGTATTAGGAAACAGTGTGTGTGTTCGTGATGGTGATTTTTGTGACATTGTTCCGCCATTAGATGGC